TGACATTCACCTCTAAGGACCATAAAAACATGAATCAAAAACCATATTGCAGAATAAATTCTTTACTACACCATTTAGGTACCGTATTATAAATGTGGGAATAACCCACATCACCGCCAACAATTAATTAAGGAATAAGGTAAGAGTCAACCCCATCAGCTGATCGGACGACAAGCAGAATTGTAGTCAGACACCTGCGACACTAGCGCTACGGCCGGAAAAGACCAACCGCCGGCAACCAAGTTTGTCTTGGTTCGGCTTCGGAGCGAGAAGGACATCTTAATCCTAGGTCTACAGTTGGTAAAGTTAAAGTACCTGTAATGCCTAACTATTTAGTTAATCTTTTGGGGGATAAAGGGGTTAGGGGGAATCGTATCTTTTCTAAATTAGGCCAAGTTCAACCAACAATAAATTAACTGACGTAACTAAATTAAACTTTACAATTATCGATATCATGTTTAGGGCAAGTTGCTGCAGGCGTGTCACAATGGCGAGGAGTAGTTAGAATAAAATAAAATGTAGTTAATCTATTTATTTAAGACCTATCAAAGCTGGCTTACGCTGAGCAGGGTTTTCGTGAGTGCTATGGGGAAGTGGAATCAGCACGTTTTTCATTAAGTGTGGATCTGGCTGGGTTTATTCCAGTCACGACCCCGCATAAAACTCACTATTTTTGACAGGAAGTACAACTTTGAATAATTTATTAAAAAGACCTATAAGTCACTATCCATGTCTTTACAATAAGACAACACATTTTTGCACACTAACAATAATTTTATATTAGTTTGTCAATATACATTTTATAGTTACCTAAATAAGAGTGAAGGTTATCTTATTATAAAGAAAAAGTCTACGAACAAACATAACACTTATGATGACATGTGGAATCAAATTTAACAATGTTACCTTGATATTTGTTTCAGGGGAAACCAAGAAAACAATTTATGTCATTATCAATACAAATACAGTTACAGGATACTTACTGTTCCTTAATTTCAGTATATTCTTCAGCCCCTTTGGCAATTTCTGACTCACTGGCTTCTTCTGTCCCTGAAACATGAGAAGGCATCAATTCTGTGGGTATTACATCAGTAGGCTTACAGTATCACATTTCCTCCAACTTAACTTTAATTTAGAATATATTTTATTTTTTATTTAAGTGTTTAATTTTAAGTTAGGTTTAAATGTTTAGTGTTTTATGTATAGATTTAATTTTGACGATGCACAGATTCTAAATGTTATGACATGTATGGAATGTTTTGTGCAATAAAGTTATGACATGTATGGAATGTTTTGTGCAATAAAGAATGTCTATGTCTATGTAAAGCTGTCTATTGGTTGATGGGTAATGGTTTATTTTTTATTTTTTACCACATTTGTCTAACTGGCCTAGTTGTTTCCAGCCTCCTTATGTCGCTTTTGGTACAATTTGCAGCCATCTTTATCGAAATATGATAGGCACACTATAAGAAGTGATTTTCTGATTGTATCGTTCCAAGACGCTGGAACACAACCTGCTGCTGGTTTTGCTGGCATTTCTCGCACAACCTCATCAGCCATCTTGTTACAAGACGCTCAGCATTCAAGCTACAATGTATTTTTTAATTTAAAATTGATTTTTTAATCTGTATTTTATATTTTAATAATTGTAATCTTTGACACTATTCAAATGCTGTATTATGTATACTTCTCAATGAAAAAAGAAATTGAAAATTGAAATTGAGTGGAGCGTCTGGGAGCGAGACACTTGGCACTCAAAGGGTTATAAAAGTAGTACATGTTAATGGGGTTCAGTAGTATTCTCAATCTTTTGATTTTTATTTTCTACAAGGACATTGCAGCGTTATGGAAAGTCGATCACTCAGTTGGTAGAGCAATTGACTATGAATCCAAGGCAAGTTCCTGTTGTTTACAATTTGTGGGATTGGGCCCTGGTGCCTGCCAATACATTTGATCTGAAGGCCAATAGTTCACTCTTGTATCTTGAGCCTACCAGCTCACCCAGCTTTGCTCGATACATTCTACTGACAGACCCTAGGCTTACATGAGATGTAAAATGCAGGGTTAAAAGAAGCTGCCAACCTCATAAAAAAAATAAATGGCCTATTATAAGGGAATTCAAAAAGTGACTAAACAATGTTTTTAGTTTACCTACATCTACCTAACTACTGCATTTCTTATGTTTGCTCACCTTCATCACTTTCTTCTGAATCATGGGCAGACAAGTTGTCATCATCATCGAAGTCATATTCATCATTCGCATGATTGGAATTGCTCAAAGGGGACATTCGATGATTGTTAGTTTGCATTTTTAGGCTGTAAATTGAAAGAAAAAAGTGTCATGAATACATGTTGATTTCACAGAGAGTTCTTCATAGGCCTAAATTATGCATTGGGGACGATTTTACGAACAAAATTAGGTAGGCCTATCTAACTTACCTTAACCTAGAGTTAAGTTGCCAGATTAGAGTAAAACATAGTAGGCTTGGCATACCATTTGTTAGGTTTTTTTTTTTTACTAATTTTTTTACCATTGAAGTGAAGTCCCTTGGGCTCACCCCAGTGGCTTTTAAAGTGTCCATGTTGTCTTTATAAAGAACATATATTTGTTTACATTATAATTAGCTGGATAATGTAATTGCTGTTAATATTTTAGTTGCAATTTAACAAAACGTGTGTTACAAACATTTAATGAATTGGTTGAAATTAAATATTTACTATTTGAATTTGGGTTGGCGTAAATATTACAATAGAAATACCCCCGCCGCAGCAAACCTGCAGACTAAGCAAATTTCCATTTGCCTGATTTGATTTTCAATGAAATCTATTTCAATAACATTACTATAAGTTTAACTAGTACCTAAGTTTTTTGCCTTTAGGGAGGGTAATTAAGTGTGGTTTTTTTCGTTAGGCATATTACTACAGAGTAACTTACCGTAACGTATCCGACCAATAAATACAGTATTTTAGGCTATAGCGATTTTACATTCCACTCCCATAATCAAGTTTTTCTACTAAGTTAAAGTTACTTTCTTTACTTATTAAAATATTGGTATTACACGTAATCCTATTTGAAAATCGATTTACTTTTATAAAATACAGTAGTATGGTACCTAATTAAAAATTTGCAACATAGTGCTTATTTGACACTATATGTGCGGCAATACCAGCGCTCACACAGGCAGATATACGGTGCTGGGAGCCCGAGGTAGGCCTAGGTGGGGAGCCACCTGGTATCACCTTATGAGCTCGCTCGTAGCCTAACGCCTAACCCTTGTATATCTCTAGCCCTGGCTCTCAGCAGTCATTGGCCTTGTGATGGCTGCCCGGGTTGGGTCTTAACTTAGAGATGGGCCGATACCAAAAATTGTCAATACCGATACCACCAAAGTACTCTCGATACCTATCGATACCGATACTTTTGATAACTTACCTATCAAAATAACAGCTGGAATCAAATAAAACGTTAATTTTAATATGAACACATTTATTGTCAACGCTAAATAAGCAGAATATCTTTGTTTATACATACACATTTTTGTATCCATATTAGGCCTAGTGTGTTATGTATAATTTAAACAGACCCTATTTGAAACACAACAAAAAGCACAACAACTTGTAATTTGTTGGGATCATCTATCTTGGCCTAGGCCTATATTTTCTTCCCCAACTGTTGGTTTGTTCAATCTTCTCTAGAAAAATTAACGTTGATGGTGCAGTTTCAGATGTTTAATGAGGTTAGAAGTCGTACAAGACTTACCCCCACGAGAAATATATTTTTTTAACAGTTTACATTTTGCCGCATCACTACTTTCACTAATAATATTAAAAAAGGGCCCACACAATACTTTTACGCTTAAACTCATATTAAATCTACTTATCATTCATTAACTAAAATCAAAAGAAATTCAATTAGAACCAGTGTGAAATAACAATAAACATAACCTCAACAGTCAACATACAAATGGATCATACGACATAAACTGCTGCTATAGCTGTAACTGCAACACTGTGACCGTGCATATAACAGGGCTTACTGCATCTCTAAAACGCTAACCGTGACTGGTTTATCATTGTCCTCCGATCCAAAACCAGCCAATGAGAAAGGTTCTAAAAAGTCAGTAAAGACACTAGCACTTGGTGCGACGTTCAACAACAATCCAAGTTTCAATGTCGCTTAAAAACATAGCACGTGATTGGTTGATCGTCGTCACAGGGCAGTAGGTGAGCTAATGAGATCGTGTCTATTAAAATGCCAAGGACACTAGCGCTCGCAGTGATGATCAACCAAACCAAGTATCCACGTCGCTATAAAATAACACGAGATTGGCCGAACATCGTCTCTGGATGGAAAACTAGCCAATGAGGTCATGTCTATCAAAATGGCAAGGCCACTAGCGCTCGCAGTGGTGATCAACCAAGCCAAATATCATCCTTAGGGTTGAAAACTAGCCAATAAGGTTGTCTCTACTACTAAGTAGGCAAACAGATGGATTCGTAACGGCAATTTACCCGCTCTGAACTGACTTAATCCACACTGATTCATACAATTCAGTGTCAGTATAGGTATCGAACCTATAACAGGCAAGTATCGAGTATCGACGATACCTCAATACCGCTGGTATCGAGAGTGTTTTGGTATCACGTATCGGTATCGGCCCACCTCTAGTTGTAACTTTATCGTATGTTGGATCGTTGTATGTTTATGTCCTTGCTAGTTGATTTCTTGGAAAGCATAGGCCTACATCAATCTTACGAGTCAAACTGTATGACGATACCTGTCTAGCGTTTAATGAAAACTACAATTGCCCCTTGTTGGCGACGTTGGTTCAAAGCGTGGCGTCTAAAGCCCACAAGTGAACAGGGTCTGTAAGTTTGGTTATCAAAGGAATCGATTCTTTCTGTGATCGATAATAGGATGCACTCGGGGAGTCTATAAATTGGGCCTATAATATCACACTAATCCTTAAAAACCTTTTTCCAGAAAATCAGGAAAGAGAAGGGAGGCCACCCTTCAAATAATGTAACAGCACGCTGCGGCGGTCATGTTGGGTTATCATAAATAGAAAGTATGACTCAACTGGTATCGTTTTAATTCATAACAAAAAAAAAGAAAAGTCCCACAAACATAAGTTAACTTATTTATGGTAACCTAACTAACATTTAACTAATGGTAAAATAAGTGGCCTCAGTTTAATAGGTACCAAAAAATACAGTATTCCTAACCAAAACAAACAACTTGTGTTAAAATAGGATAGGCCTAGTCTGTGACACATTTTGCAATACACTAAGTTAGTTACTAACCTTAATTTTCCTTCACAATGTTGTGTTCTAGAATTGGCTTAAAATAGGCAAGTGCAAGTGGACAGAGAACTCACTAGGCCTATTTATTTGTCGAAAACTTTCAAGTTTTGTTAGTTTTTCTCTTAAAAAATACTCAGTAACTTAAGTTTAGTAGTTGTTGTAACACTAAACACACACAGCACAGACACAACAACACAACTTTCTACTACTAATTAATCAATCACAAAACAACGCAATTCACAATTCACTATTCTCATCTCTAGATCTCTTCTTCATTTCGTTTAGTTTTTGTTTTATAATTTTTTATCGTTTCTCTATTTTTTTGTGACTATTCTACTTTTTCTTCTCTTCTACGAGTTTCTCAAGTCTCGACCTCAATCTGACTGATCTCGACTAGTCGACTCCGACTGGACCAAACTGCTGAACTCTTACTAGACTGGACTAGACTTTTGAGTCCAGAATCTGAACTGAACTAGAGGCACGGCCGCCTGCCGCGGCTCGCCGCGGCCTTCGAAGCGGCAACGCGTACTAGGGTCTGACTGAATCTGATTATTTCAATCCACCAGGATCCACCTCCACCAGTCAATGAGTCGAGTCTGGTCACAGAAAACATCTGATCGAGTCACCAAAACGGAAAACACAGAAAGAGTGGTCTGCACTGCAGTCTGCTCTGCTTCTGCTGTCAGGCTGTCACTGTTGTCTTTTTTTAGTTGTCAAAAATCTAACCTAAGTCACTGTTGTCTTTTGTTTCGTTGTCAAAAATCTAACCTTGTCGATTATTTACTTTACAAAATACACCAGAGTCAGAGTATCAATCAATGAAAGATATTCATTATCGATTTGTGAATAATATTTGTGCCATTGCTGACTGATATACTTAACCGTTGGGTTTGTACAACAGAGCAAGCTCTCAAATTTTAATCTCGTATCAGTATCAGTCATGCTTAATGAAGATATAGATGAACAGGATAGTTATCACTATGACTTTACAACAGCTTCAGAATGGGAAATATTCATAGCTAGGCTGGAGGAAATAATTCATGATTGGAAAGTATCGCATATTCCTCTTAAACCTGCGTTACAACACAAACAGTTATTTAATTCATCATGGGAGACTAAAACTGAAACTTTATCTTTCGCAGGTAGGTCATGGGGGTACAGTTTCTTAACTGGGCTACGCCAATATTGATTGAAACTATCGAATTGAAAATATTCATTAATAATCGATATTTTAACCCTCCGAGTGTCCATAGTTTAGGCCTTAATGTCCACCTATTTTTGGCCCCTTTGCAAGGTTTTATTAAAACGGATCTGAGAAGCTTCCATTTTGTTTGGAAAATCATGGGCTTCAATATTATATATAAAACATAAGGAACATTTTTTCAAAAAAAAATTTTTAGGTAAAAAAAAAATATAATTTCGAAAATTTTCAAAAAAAAAATAAGTTCGCGCTCAATGAAATTGTATAAATTATAGGCCTATAAATATTTGAAAATAGCCACTTTGTTCTAAATTTAATGAGGATTACAAATATATAATCATATAGCGAGGTAAGTTATCAAATAAATAAGTTATGAGCGAAAAACGGATTTCAGTACATAGCGTTTAGCTAAGAATGCATAGCCTAACCATAGCTAGGAATCTGGCTGATAATTTACATCAATATCACTACCTACTTCTTCAGGATCATCAACCAGCACTTCAAAACCACTTAAATCTTCTTATAATGCACCACGTATATCACTACTTTTGATTTTTAACACTAAAACAATGATAAACGTAATAAAACACATCAGTCATCGGTCCGGGGGAACCTAGCTGTTTACAAATACACGCACGTCAGCTGTCTGCTACAATATTTTCGGAACTAAAATGAATAGCGCTTAGAGACAGACCTCTGGAGAAAGCTTAGAATATTACGGAAAGAACGATACCTAACTCGATCCAGTTCAATCCGATTCAGTCAGTCATAGAGCCTTCGCCGTAAACGATGTTTGTGCGTCACAAAAGTGACGCGTGACCCTACACAAAGTGTGTTGTGCGTCATTTTTATGACGCGTGACACTCGGAGGGTTAAAATATATCTATTATAAAATTAAACTATCATAACCTAACCTAACCATCCAAACTTGCTGATGGTAAAAAAAAACCGCATGAACTAATCGAATCGATAGTTTCAATCAATATTAGCGTAGCCCAGTTAAGAAACTGTACCCGACATCTCTTTAACGGGACAATTTTTATTAGCACATTGGTTTAACCGGACTAACTTAGATAGGCAGGAAGTGGGCAGTACCGAAACGACTGTTCTGGTGGGAAAGATTTGAGACCAGTGATCACGTGTCTAAATACAATAATGCTCTCCTAAATTTAAGTCGAATATCACAGTAAACAGTCTGTTTTAAAGAGTTTTTTGGGGACGTCGGTTTAACCAGAAACCCCGTTATCCGGACTGACCTCGGTCCCAAGGAGTCCGGATAAGGGGAGTCTACTGTAGTATATTTTTTTTCATAATTTATTACTCAGTTGCAAATCATTAGTGTTAGCACAAAAAAATTGAAATTCATAAAGCACGATGGAAAACTCACTGCATGTGAATAGTATTAATAATCCAATTAGTATTAATATTAATAGTAATTAATAATAATATTAATATTAATAGTATTAATAATCGATTTTTTCATAGATGTAGACTTCACTTTGACTCGTTACTATGCCAAATTGTCCGAAGAGGAAGGAGCTAACAACATGCTGGACAATGAGTCAGAAATGACAAAGCTTCAACCACTGGAAGATATGATGTCCACAGAGAACGATTTTGTGCCGATCGTGTTTGAAGGCAACAAGTCTCACCCACACTTGCTTACACGGTGGTATGGGCTAAGGGACTTCATAGTCCTCACACCAAACCAGAGCGTCGTCATCACTTCAGAGAGCAAGATAAAAATACTGCTCAGCTCTGTCTGCATTGCTGTCAACAACAGTAATTGGTAAGTATAAACATCACTTGTGAGAATTTAATAGTATTATTGGCGTTGTCTCCTGATTCGCTACTATGTTGCTTTTCTTATTTTGATTTTTCATTTGTGCTTCCTCCTTTTTTCCAGCTCAGTTCCTGTTTTCATTCAAGTGTTGGAACCTTGGCAGAACTTCTTTCTCGGTGTCTGTGAGGCTAAAGGAATAAGAGCGGAATATGAGATGGTCCACCTACGCCGGGTTCCACCTCATTGCAAACATTTGACAGGTAAAGAATAATAAGTTCATGATTTAAACCAAACATTTCACCAACATATATGTTACACTGAGCCAGCATGTAGACTATATTTTAATTATGATTGTTAAATGACTGGTAATGCCGAAGATACAGTGACATAATATATGTGTGGTATCTATGTACAAAGGACAGAAATCTACACCTTTGCTAACAGTTTTTTTTTTTAATGTTGGATTTCATTTAGGCCTAGCCTACTTGAGAGAACAATTTTTTTTTACAATTGGATTAAAGATAACTAGACATTTGTCTAAATCTTTTAAGGTGACATTGTGCACACCATGCACCCCCATATGTAACTCTTCCCTTACCGTATGGGCTTATATGTTTTTGAGCAGACCAATAGAAAGTCCTAACCTAAAAATTAAGATCTACTTCTAATTACTTAGCCTATTCGGTTTCCAATCCTCGAGATATTGGTTATTAAATTATTTTCCCTAGATTGTGGGATAGGATAATGCTTTCTATGCCATTTCGGGGATGTATATGAATTTTCTACAATCGAAGGAGACGATGAGGATGATGTACTTAATTGCGGGAGCTATGAAGACACCTTCAGGATTGTGGGAGATTTTCAAAATGTAGCCAAATTAGCAGGAAATGAGCACTGCTGAATTCAGCTGAAGGAGCAATACTGACCCGAATGAAGTTGCTGATTTATTAACGTCAGTCTTCTCGTTTTGTGGTAAGACGACTGGTGACCGCAAAGCAATTGTAGGTTTCGCAATGTAACTTGAAATTCCCTTTCAATATACATAACTTATCTAAGGACACAAAGTGTATTTGTATGAGGAGCTTATAATCAGACATAAATATTTCCGATTTTGGGGGGGGAGGGGGTCATGACACCCTTGACCCCCCCCCCTCCGTAAGCTGTGGACAATTGCTTTACATTACAAGCAGACCATCCAGATCTGCAGGAAAAGCAGTAAGACAACACTCATTTACTGTATGCTCCATAGTTTCAACTCAGCTCCATACAAACAAGACTGATCATGCTTATCAAGCAACGTGTTGTTTGCATATCTACAATTATATGTAATGTCCTAAATATACAATTATACATTGGTACTAAATGAACATCGAATTTTGTGGTTTGACTCTCAAACCAATGTTTTACCAGCTGTCTGCTCCCCTACAAATGCTGAAAGGTCCAAAAATATAATACATGCTAAAAAAAAACATGCACATCCACATTCTTTCTTCTACATTCTTTAGAATTTGTTAACATTTGCACTTAATTAAACAAATTAAAAATTGATAATTGGTTTAATCAACAAATATTCAAGCTAAAGGTTCAAGACCAAAATACCGGTGACGCAGAATTACTTTAGTACCACAATGTATTATTTGAAAACAGCTGTTCGCCAGGAAAATATTATTTTGCAGGTTTGTTGAACGTATTTAAGTCCAAACTTGGTTCACCCTCGCTGTCCGAGTCTGTGACCGTGAGTGCTCGGCTGAGTTACATCCTGAGAGACTGGACGTCCTTTGCTTGGACCCAGGAACCTCCCGACCTTGAGTTCCTCATGGGAGAAATAGGTGTTGGAGAACTCGGCACTCTACCCTTCGGTGCTACTTTTGACCCTGTCAGGTACAATAGCAGTGAAAATAGATTATGGATAGAATGTATTTTTTATACTTAACAAGTTACTGTAATTAATATTCTATTAAGCCCCCTTTATGAAAACATTTCCATTTGTTTTAACTAATCCATATATAAATCCTAAAGTACCCATGAACTTTTGAGAAAACTCCAAGTCACACCCCCATAAACCATATACTTAAAATGGTCGTCATAACGAGAAACCTTGCGCCAAACTATCCATAATAATTCATAATTTGTCGTAATTCCTTCCTAAAGGGAACTTTCCATATACCTAATTTTAAAAATACCTCAGCTGTTCACTTATTTATAATATGTTATTCTATCAATATATTATCTTATTCCAATCAGGTGTGATTATTTGTTTGTATTACTGTAATCTGTTTTGTTTATTTCAGCTTAACTTAACCAATCAATAGTTTTTGAGCGGAGCGAGCGAAGCGAGCGAAGCTCTTATACGTCGACTTTTATGCATTTCGTAATACGCAAACTCCTCCTAGACGGCTGAATCAATCGTTTTCAAATTTTGCATGGTGATAAAGACCATATCGGTGAGTGCCAACATCTATATGGCGTTAAAAAAGTCTCTCAGGAATCCGTAGAAAAATGAAACTGAAAATCACATTTTCTTAACATTAGTCTTATGGGTTGCTAGGTAACCATGTTGGCTGAATTAAATAACAAGTAAAAAGTAAACAAAAGATTTGAAGTTTTAGCATGTGTTCATAATAACTTAACTACCCACAGTAGACTAGGAAATTACAAATACAGTACAAAAGGAAAAACATCACTTGTTAATATTGAGCAAAGATTATACTTCAGATTACTCGATACATTGTAGTCAAGGGTAGCAGTGCGAAGTCTAGGATCTGTTTATGACGAATACATTAAGGTATCTGCAATCCTAAAATGCTATGGGAAGGGAAGGAAACAGGTCCGTGACGTAGGAAGTAGTGAAGGAAGTAGTAAAGGCAATCATAAAATGCTATGGGAATAGAGGGAAACAGGTCCGTGACGTAGGAAGTGATATGAAGGAAGTAGTAAATGCGAGCAGTCCGGAGTGTGGGGACTGTTTATGACGATAAGATTAGGGTATCTGCAATCCTAAAATGCTATGGGAAGGGAGGAAAACAGGTCCGCGACGTAGGAAGTGGTGAAGGAAGTAGTCAAGGCGAGTAGTCCGGAGTGCGGGAACTGTTTATGACGATTAGATTAAGGTATCTGCAATCTTTAAATGCAATGGGAAGGGAGGGAAACAGGTCCGTGACGTAGGAAGTGGTGAAGGAAGTAGTCAAGGCGAGCTGTCCGGAGTGTTGGAACTATTATGACGATTAGATAAGGGTATGGGCAATCAAAAATGCTATGGGAAAGGGAGGGAAACAGGCCCGTGACGTAGGAAGTGGTGAAGGAATTAGTCAAAGCGAGCTGTCCGGAGTGTGGGAACTGTTTATGACGATAAGATAAGGGTATGGGCAATCCTAAAATGCTATGGGAAGGGAGGGAAAGAGGTCCTCGACGTAAGAAGTGGTGAAGGAAGTAGTCAAGGTGAGCTGTCAGGAGTGAGGGAACTGTTTATGGCGATTAGATAAGGGTATGGGCAATCCTAAAATGCTATGGGAAGGGAGGGAAACAGGTCCGTGACGTAAGAAGTTGTGAAGGAAGTAGTCAAGGCGAGCTGTCTGGAGCGTGGGAACTGTTTATGATGATTAAATTAAGGTATTTGCAATCCTAAAATGCTATGGAGAGGGAGGAAAATAGGTCCGCGACGTAGGAAGTGGTGAAGGAAGTAGTCTAGGCGAGTTGTCCGGAGTGTTGGAAATGTTTATGACAATTAGATTAAGGTATCAGCAAACCTAAAATGCTACGGGAAGGGAGGAAAACAGGTCCACGACGTAGGAAGTGATGAAGGAAGTAGTCAAGGTGAGCTGTCCGGAGTGTGGGAACTGTTTATGACGATTAGATTAAGGTATTTGCAATTCTAAAATGCTATGGAAAGGGAGGAAAATAGGTCCGCGACGTACGAAGTGGTGAAGGAAGTAGTCTAGGCGAGTTGTCCGGAGTGTTGGAAATGTTTATGACAATTAGATTATGGTATCAGCAAACCTAAAATGCTACGGGAAGGGAGGAAAACAGGTCCGCAACGTAGGAAGTGATGAAGGAAGTAGTCAAGGTGAGCTGTCTGGAGTGTGGGAACTGTTTATGACGATTAGATAAAGGTATTTGCAATCATAAAATGCTATGGGAAGGGAGGGAAACAGGTCCGCGACGTAGGAAGTGGTGAAGGAAGTAGTCAAGGTGAGTGGTCCGGAGTGTGGGAACTGTTTATGACGATTAGATTAAGGTATCTGCAATCTTTAAATGCAATGGAATGGAGGGAAACAGGTCCATGACGTAGGAAATTGTGTAGGATGTAGATGTGTGGATTTATGTATCTCCAATACTACGGTGCTTTCAGAGTGAACTAATGATTTTCCCCGAGCAAAGCTCGGTCCCCAGGTACTATAATCAAATGACGACACTAGCTTGAGGTTCGTGACGTATGAAGAGGTCAAGGAAGTAGTAAAGGTGAACAGTCTGGAGTGTGGAAACTGTTTATGACGATTAGATTAGGGTATCTGCAATCCTAAAATGCTATGGGAAGGGAGGAAAACAGGTCCGCGACGTAAGAAGTGGTGAAGGAAGTAGTCAAGGCGAGTAGTCCGGAGTGCGGGAACTGTTTATGACGATTAGATTAAGGTATCTGCAATCTTTAAACGCAATGGGAAGGGAGGGAAACAGGTCCGCGACGTAGGAAGTGGTGAAGGAAGTAGTCAAGGCGAGCTGTCCGGAGTGTTGGAACTATTATGACGATTAGATAAGGGTATGGGCAATCAAAAATGCTATGGGAAAGGGAGGGAAACAGGCCCGTGACGTAGGAAGTGGTGAAGGAAGTAGTCAAAGCGAGCTGTCCGGAGTGTGGGAACTGTTTATGACGATAAGATAAGGGTATCTGCAATCCTAAAATGCTATGGGAAGGGAGGAAAACAGGTCCGCGATGTGGGAAGTGGCGAAGGAAGTAGTAAAGGCGAGCTGTTCGGAGTGTGGGATCTGTTTATGACGATTAGATTCAGGTATCTGCAATCTTAAAATGCTATGGGAAGAGAGGGAAACAGATCCGCGACGTAGGAACAGGTGAAAGAAGTAGTAAGGTGAGCAGTGTGGAGTGTGGGAACTGGAAACCGTTTGTAGCAGTTTTAATGTATCTGCAATGCTGAAATGCTATGAGAAGGGATGGAAGCATGCCCAAGACATAGGAAATTGTGAAAGAAGTAGTAAAGTCTAGCAGTACGGACAGTGGGGATGTTTGTTGCAATTAGATTAACGTATCTAAAATACTAAAATGCTATGGAAAGCGATGAATACAGGTCCACGACGTAAGTGGTGAAGGAAGTAGTAAAGGCTGGGAGTGCAGAGTGGGGGAACCTTTTGAGCAGATGGATACGTGAATTTGTAATACTTAAATGCTATGAGAAAGGAAGGAAACAGGCCAATGACGTAGTAAATGGTGAAGGAAGTAGTAAGGCTAACAGCGCAGAGTGTGGGAACTGTCTTTGGCAATTACATTAATGTATCTGCAATCCTAAAATGCTATGGGAAGAGAGGGAAACAGGTCCACGACGTAGGGTGTGGTGAAGGAAGTAGTAAATGTGAGCAGTGTTGAGTTTGGGAATGGATTAATGTATCTGCAATGCTAAAATGCTACGGGAAGAGACTGTAGACTGTAATATGTTAAAAATGATTACGAAGCACAAATCGATACATATTTTCGATACATGCAATCGTTTACAATCGAAATTTACAACTGAGTTGACAACAGCTGATTTTTACTCCATAGAGGCTAAAAACGATTTTTACTCCCTAAATATTAAAAATGCTACTTTAGTCCCGCAGCGCATGCATGAAAAAATACTGTTTTTACTGCAGTAAGACAAAAACAATATAATATGAACCCTTGATGACTCCGCTCAATTTTGTGGATGCCTCTGCGAACGCCACCTAGTATTAATGCTTATATGAAGTCAAACAGGGTGAAGCCCGTGGGTTATCAGCTAGTTACATTAACTTATGTTTTCTACAACATTTTCTAGGATTCAATTGTAAGTGTTTGAATAATATGTTTTCTTTTTTATCCTGCCAACAGGGCATTACTATAATGCAATAGCCACCAATGCTGACTGTAAAATAAAAAATAGTGAATGGCTTGGGATGTCGATATTGGTTGATTCTTTTTAAGTCATGTCGAAAATCATGCATTTGACTTCTTCTTATTTATAGTTCATAATATGAAAAGAAACATGATAACAATAGACATAACAAAAACAATAACAAATTACCTAATGAGCCTGGGCTATATAATTCCAGTTTATATAAATTCTTCCCATTTAAAGTTTAAATAACTCAATACAACTGTTCTTTACAGTGAACTCGTGTTGTATGCCAGCTGGTATGGCCTGAGAGAGACAGTTGTGGTAGATAGCGAAAGCTACTCAGACCTAGACCCTAGCCAGGTAAGTTGGAAAACCTTAATATTTCTTAGGCCAACCTAATCTAACAAAATATATTTGTTTAATTTAAAGTCCAAACAATTGTGTTACAGTACTGAATGTTTTGGAATTCAATACTGAACATGATTAATCTGCCAAACACAACTGTACACACTTTATCAAATGTTTACGTTGATTATCGACATATTTCATTAACCCTCCGAGCGTCACTTGTCGAAAAATCGACTCACGACACACTTTGTGTAGTGTCACTTGTCGATTTTTCGACACACGAACATTGTTTACGGCGAAGGCTCTATGACTGACTGAATCGGATTGAACTGGATCGAGTTAGGTATCGTTCTTTTTGTTAGATTCAGAGCTTTCTCCGGAGGTCTGTCTCTAAGCGCTATTCATTTTAGTTCCGAAAATATTGTAGCAGACAGCTGACGTGCGTATTTGTAAACAGCTAGGTTAACCTCGGACCGATGACTGATGTGTTTTATTACGTTTATCATTGTTTTAGTGTTAAAAATCAAAAGTAGTGATATACGTGGTGCATTATAAGAAGATTTAAGTGATTTTGAAGGGCTGGTTGATGATCCTGAAGAAGTAGGTAGTGATATTGATGTAAATTATCAGCCAGATTCCTAGCTATATGGTTAAGGCCCGTTGTCCAAGAACGCGTCTGTTGCGTCTGACGCTGAGTAATAGACGCTAGCGATGGACGCTCAGGGACTGCTAAGCATTGATTTCAATGGGTCCGTTGTCCAAGGGAGCGTCTCTATCGTCTGACGCTTGAGACGCTGAGCGTCTGACGCGGGGCACTGCTCCGGGAGCAGACGGGATCGCTGACGGCCAGCGTCTATTGCGTCTATTGCATTGTTGTTTCTGTGTTCTCCCGTATACTCCATAATATACAGTATCTTAATGTAATGGCTATAGTCAAAGAAATATAGAATATGACCTAAAAAGATTGCAAGATAATGTTTTAGGGTTTTATTTTGTAGTGTTGAGTCTGCTGATTGATATACTAAAGGTTGCCAAAAATCGGTCCATGAGAAACCCACCAGTATTTATTGGGTGGTTAGTACTTCATTTTGATAGGAAACACGTTTATGGCCACCATCTTGGATCCGCCATATTGTATATACATATTGTTTTTATGTAATGATAGTTTTGTGACACATAATTTACAAAACTAGATTTTCATGCTAATTTCAATGCGGGAATCAGTTTTTATTTATTTTTTGTTTTAAAGAAATTCAAACGAAAACTCTTCCCCATACATTTCTTATAGACGTTTCGTACTTTTATCATTTTTTAAATATCTCCAGTTCTTATTAACGCTTGCAGTTCGTTTCAACCTTAAAATATTCAGTAATGTAAGGGCTTCCATTTGAGTTATTGATCATTGAAATCAGACGAGTTAGGGACCCGCTACAAACAAAAACACAAAATTAAATTAAAGTTATAGTCTAAAATAATTCACCAAAGTATTGACTTTTATTTTAGCTATGGATTACATATTGGGAGCTATTTAGAATAGGAGATATCTGTATTTAAGTACTGTAAAGAAAAATTTCAAAATAATAATAAATTAGTGTTAAATTAAATTATTACAACTTAAACTTTAAAGGATTTAACGGAACTTAAACTGTTGCCATTAAAAGAAAAAAAAATCAATTAATGCACTCTTGTCTGCATTAAAGTGGTTTTTGATAGGTATTCTAAAATATCCTTCCTCACTTCTCTTTTTGAAAACACTGTGGGTACACAATCGAGGTTCACTAAAGGTCCAGAATTTCCTCGTTTTCTATCTCTTCGATGAATAGGATCTTCAACACTTGGCTCTTAACGCTAATAGTGAGAGCAAAATAAATTTTTACACAGTCAGCAACCAACTGTTGAACTGAATAGACGCGTTCTTGGACAACGGGCCTCCAAGCGATTGACGCCCAGCGATCATCGCTCGGCGATCATCGCTCTGCGTCAGACGCAACAGACGCGCCTTGGACAACGCAGCTTTAGGCTATGCATTCTTAGCTAAACGCTATGTACTGAAATCTGTTTTTTGCCCATAACTTATTTATTTGCAAATCTACTTCCTTATATTATTATATATTTGTAATCCTCATAAAATTTATAACAAAGTGGCTATTTTCAAATATTTATAGGCCTATAATTTATACAATTTCATTGAGCGCAAACTTATTTTTTTTTTTTAATTTTCCAAATTATACTTTTTTTACCTAAAATTTTTTTTTGAAACAAATGTTCCTTATGTTTTATGTATAATATTGAAGCCCATGATTTTCCAAACAAAATGGTATAAAGAACAGTAGAATTAACATTGTTTTAAGCTTCTCAGATCCGTTTTAATAAAACCTTGCAAATGCGCCAAAAATAGGCGGACATTAAGGCCTAAACTATGGACACTCGGAGGGTTAAGAAGGAGGAGGGTAATATTTTTTAATCGATCCTTAACATGAATCCTCTGTACATTCCCCTTTCTCTTGACAAAGTTTTGGATACACTATTGCAGCACACTATATTAACAAAACAAATCGGGTTATAATGAGTAAAATGACATGTACTGGTGAGTTTTTATTCGACTGAAGTAAATAATTATGCTTGGCAGGCCCCCCAGTGGAGCGTAGCAGTCAAGATGGCAGACAAGCCGCTGTGTCTACTTTCTGAGTACTTGTCTGAGTTCCTGCATCTGTGTTCGAGCCCAAGATCCATGTCTGACCTTCTGGGGGACCTGCTTCAGCATCAACAACCTGGTGTGTATAGTGTTGAAAGTTGAGGTTTGAAAGTGCATTGACTCGCACCACTACTACGTAGTAGACTTCCATGGAATTCTATTATCCAAGGACATTAACAAAGCACCGGATCAAAGATAGGTTGATAGGTTGACTTGAAATGCACATCAAATTAAAGGTCTTTGTTAGTAATTAAAATACAATGCTACAGACCCAAACTCTAACGGACAACTGAGTAAAAAATGGCAGCCATTCAAAGATTTCTTGACTCTGCTTTTTTTAATCTTTGAATTGCTGCCATTGTTCTTTTTGAGTTCAATTTCACGGTATTATATTCTTTAATAAAGATCTTTAATCCGTTGTGCATATTAAACTATGCATACGTTTATTATTTTCTTCAGACTTCTAGCAGGTGCCCTCCTGAGGAGGTAGCTTATTATCATAGCAATGCAAATTGATTGCATCTTTGAATAGCTGTAATTTTTTACTCGGTTGTCCATTAGAGTACGGGTTTGCGGCATTGTATTTTAGTAACAAAGTCCTTTATCTTGATGTTCATATCAACCTATGCTTACATCTAAGATTTTCTTTTGGGATGTTCCCCTGAGGAGGTTGCCCATCACTGAATAATGTGTTAGAATTATTTTAATGCCAGTAACTGTGTACCAAGTTTTGAAGCTATAACTTAATTAATTTTTGAAATATTTAACCGTCCCTGTATTGTTTCCCACCCTGTATTGTTTGGCAATGTTTTAAATAACTTAACCCTGTTGAACGGCTTTGGATTAACTTTGTTAAATGTACTGATTTTTGATTTGCCAAAATATCAGATTCGCCAATAGTGGCAGATTGTGTGCCCAGTGGTTGTTCATGTAAACTATCATTGCAATAGTTGTGTATGACTTCCAAGTTCCTACGCAATTTGGAATTACAGTTTTTTGCACAGACAAAACCATGGTATTGTTGCTATCAAACATAAAACTTTTGTCAGATGATCAGGTGATAGCTTGGGGACAGCTCACTTACTCTACAGATCATAGACTATACGAGCTTTTTAAATAATATTGAAGGTTCACTTGCACTACAGGCTCGTATACTATACGAGCCTATCGAAAATAAAAAATAAATGAAGAGGGTTCACTTACTCTACGAATCATTGTGCCTATGAGCCTCGTGTATTATATTTAAAAATACAGTAGGAAGGTTCGCTTACTCTACAGATCATAGTGACTATGAGCCAAGCTTACGAATTATTTGATAATTTAGGAATCGGCTCGTATAGTATACGAGCCAAAATAATGAATAATATAAATTATAGGAATAGGCTCGTATACTATACGAGCCTGCAGAAAAATATTAGATGGCTCACTTACACTACAGATCATTGGCACAATGATCCGTAGAGTAAGTGAACCCTCTTCAAAATATTAGATGGCTCACTTACTCTACGGCTCATTTAGCTACTCGTTGCGCGGTTTGCGTTCGTGAAACTCTAGGCGCTATGCCCGGCTTCGACTGCTGCGACTGCCTACATAAGTGTATTGCATCACCTCAATTATTTATTAAAACGAAATAAATATGTATGCACAAGTAAATTTATTACATTTTTGGACTGAATACTTTAAAAATGGAGGGAGCATAACTTTTATGTTTAATTAAATTAAAAGTTATAGAATAAAACATATTTTGACTATGTGATTTGATCATGTTATATAATACACACTTGTATGATCCAGATACAGAGCTACAGACAAAACCTGTGGTCCGATTTAGATTAAATTTTGTATCTGGATTCATCCACGAGTCACTAATTTTTTAAGCACGGGTTGAGAAATAATGGCAAAAATTTATAAAAACAGTTCACCAGTTTAGAATATTTCTCAGTTACTGTGAGTTGCAAAAAAGTGTATACAGAAGCATTTGTGTTCACAGAAAATATAGAGGACTAGATGTATACAGAAGATATATTAAAATACAATACGCATACAACTATCAACGTTTACATATGTAAAATTAATTAATTTGTTGTGGTATTGAGTATTTTTAACATTATGACGAAGCCTTAACAAAATATATTTTTTAAGGAGTTCTAGGGTGTTAAACTATATTGTATTTATCTTTTGTGGAAGATTCTGTCTACGATTTATGATTGCTAACAATTTAATACAAAGATTTAAGTCTCTGTACGTGAAGACTAAAAACACGAAACAAACTTTAAAGGGATAGAAAAGATTTGATCAGGAGCTGGCGTTTGATACCTTTTGGGAATAAATATAGCCTCTACTTCAAAGGTATACATGGTGAAGTAGCCTCTGGAAGTCCATCTTCAGGTTAACAAAAACGTCAATAGGTCATCTAACCAATTTGATTAGATGACCTATTGACGTTTTCTGAAGATGGACTTATTTTCAAGTCCGAAACTATAGTAGTGTATTACTGAAGAAGGATCACTTGACTAAGCCAGGTAACTTAAACCATTTAGCTTAAAGTTATACAAGTTGGTTTCACACCAACATTTCATGCACATATGAAATCTATATAATTAATACGCGAACACGAAGTTTGGTTGAATCCTCCACCATTTCTAAACCGATTTTATCCACTGACGTCTCATTGGAAAGAGCGTGTTGCGTAGATTTGCAAACTGGCCTAAAATTTTTGAAAAAGTCCCTTGGCCTCTCCACAGTGGCTTTTTATTAAGTTCCCATGTTATCCTTACGAAGAACATAATATTGTTTACATCAGCTGTTTAATTTAATTGTGTTCTTTGTTTTTCAATTCAACGAAACGCATTGGTTACATTAACTGATTTTGTGGAAATTAAATATCTATCTATATATTAATTACGAAAGCCGATTCTTTGCGTCAAAATTGTGGGTGACTGGGTAGTCGTAGAACGACGGGAGAGGGTTCAAATTAAAGGTCTCGATCCCGGAAAAATAGTGAAATTCCCCAAATTTTAACACAAAATTAGACATAACCTTTGACTTAGTCAATGATATAACGTAAAATGTTCTCCATAAGAATAGCATTAGAAGCCATTTGTCTGTTGATTTTTGTTTACCTCAATACAGCTGATCGTGATTTATCATTAAGCCAGTAAGCAATATTACATTTGGATTTAACTAGTTTGCCAGTAAATTCTGCAATGTACTGTATACTATATAAAACCAGGGATGACGTTACATACAATTGAGACTTTTGTCGTTATGTCTTAGAATGTTGAAATTAATTTTACTGTGCAATTTGCAAATTTGTGTATTTGTATGTAAATTAGCCAAGCGCATGAAATTTAGTAGAATCGTGGGAGATGGTTAAAATCATAGTAAATGGAAGTAGAATGGCTGAAATATTTAAGCTTTGGTTTTTTTTAAAACATATGTTCACGAAGTTTACAAAGTTATTTTACTTTGATTACACTTCTTCACATTAGTAGGTTATTGTTGTGCTGAAGGAATGTTTAACATGAAATAGCCCCATTGACTAAATAATCAACGATGCAAGATTAGTTAGAAAACTTCTGTTTTGTTTTTATTTCAAAACATATATTGCAAATTTATTCAAAACTTTTGTTTTAAATTTCATAACATTTAATTTGACACGTAATTGTAGTGTTTAATCTATACTTTGTATCGAGTGGAATAACCTTAACAGTTACTCTAGAGAATAACCTGGGAATAAAATTTGAAATAGGTTTGTACAGGCAATACATATATTCCTTTCATTAATTACTATAACAAATTCCAATGGGCGGAAAAATAAAATTGTTTGGAGTAGATTTTAATCAGGTATCTACTGTCTGTTGCTCCAAGGAAAAAAGGTTAAAATAATATAGCCCAACATGCATTGTATATATATATACAATCTATATAGATAGTGAAGAGAGAATCTATAACAGTAAACCCTGGAGGTAGTTTTCGATTCTTCATGTTTCACTAACCAAAAATATGTACCTATATTAATTGCTGATGAATTTGTTTTCTTGATTGGTTTCATTAACATGATAATGGAACCCTAACCAATGGCAAAAGAAAAGAGTTAGTAATCAGTCGATGATTAGCTTTTTTAACTGTAGGCTAAATAAATAATATAAACGGTAAAATGTTTTCAAACAAAATTTACATCCATTGAATGAAAAATAATATACTATTAACATGACTATAGCTGATATGGCTTAGCTGTCGGCTATCTGTACATTGCGTCATAACAGCAGACAGCGCTATGTTATTAACTTAAAAATTATAACGGATTAGCAAATAAATACTTTACTATGGTCTTAACAAACTATGAACCCACTGAACGTTTAAATTGGCCAATTTTAAAGAGAGTATAAAGTCAACCACAGCTTTAGGAGGAATCCCACCACATAAGCTGACACAGAGAGTAGTTTATATTTTATGTTGATCAGAAACGAAACTAGGGCAGCCTTTACACTAATTCAGTTGTGTCTTTACAAAAGGAGTAGAGCTATAATATTAGAAATAATAACTGGGCCAGGGTACTAATATGAGTACATGTATTATTGTAGCACTGTATCGATTCTGACACATAGATAATTTTATTCTTAGTTTGTTTACTTAAGTTTACTTATTGTTGACTTATGTCCCTACAAGCCACTAGTTGATCAATATAAAGCCCAAAGTACACATGAACTTTTGTGAAAACTACAAGTCATACCCCCATAAACCATATACTTAAAATGTTCGTCATTACGAGAAAACTAGCGCAAAACTATCCATTATTTCATAAACTGCCCTTAAAGGTCGTAATTGTTGTCCAAGGAAACATAGGAAAGTCATAGAACGCCACCAAGTAGCAGAAATCGAGATTTTTTAAAAATATTATCGTTATCATCCTATATAAAAGAAGAACACCTACAATATGAAGATTCCCACAAACAATGAACAAGGATGTTATCGAAAGTGCTACTATTTTGTAGGAAAAACGGACTTAACCATTAACTTTAGGATGATTTGCAAAGGAAACCCCTCTAATGCCGAATTAAACCGGTACGGCAAGGA